CCACCAAAGGCCCCGAGAGGGCGAGACGGGAGGAGACGGGAGCGTCGCGCCTGTGCGGAATGAGCGAGGGTCACGCGGCGGCTGCCGGAGGTTCTGCTGGCGCTTGGACGGGCGCGGGGGTCGTTCCTCCCCGGCCAGCCGCGGGTGCCAGGTTCCCCGTTGGAACCTGCATTAAATCGCTCTTCCTCGCACCTGGCTCTAGTGGTGGCCCCCTTTTCCGGAACAGGGGGCAAGTGATCACTCTCAGGGGCAAGGCAGGTGCGGGTCCCCAGTTCAGAATCAGGCACGATGAGGGTCTCGCTCGAGGACCCAGAAGGGATTTGGGAGGATGGGAACCCAGACCTTTGGGCAAACTGGAAGCAGCTTTGTGGTCCCGGGGTCGTGATGGTGCTGTGAGTGGGGAGGCCGGGCTGAGGAGCCCCTGGAGTCAAGCATCCCCCTCCCCGGGGGTTAAGGATGAGCGGGCGGTGGGGGCCGCCTGTCTCAACGTAAACAGCGTTTATCAATGAGGAAACAGGCCCACACGTATGTCACTTGCCTGGAGACAGCTGTGATTTGAACCCACATCCGGCTGCAGTGGGATGGAGAGGGTGGCAGCCCTCCTTGGCGAGGAAAGAGTAAGGGAGGAGAGTCGAGACGGCTTGAGTGAGCTGTCCCAGCTGATTCAATCCATCCTGTGTTCATTCATGTATTCATGCATTTCTTGAGCGCCTGTGCTGGGCCCTGGAAGTCAGCGAGGAGGCTCGGGCCCATCTCTCTGCCCTCAATAAGGAGGCAAGTGAAAAGTCAAGCAACATGAAAGAATGGTGTGGGAATAAAATCCTACAAGTTGTGCTGAATGCCAGGTGGGGGTAGGAGGTGTCAGAGGAGGGATTCTGAAGCTGCGACATTTGAACTGAGCCCTGAAATGCAAAGGTGAAGTGTTTCAAGTGTTCCCCAGAAAGAACTGCGGGCGCGTTGGGGGAATGCCAGGGTAACTCCTTGGCTGAGCAGGAAGGGAGGAAGGAAGGGAGGGGGAAGGAGGTCGGAGGTTATTTTGCTTGTGATGAGGTTACTGGGTTTGGTAACAGTGGCTGTCAAGTGAGGTGTATGGGAAACCTTTCCCTGAACCTTAATCCTGCCCACCTCCCTCAGCCTCACAGTCCCTGAGGGAGCTGCTTGGTTTGGGGAGTCTAACATCTAGCCCCTGCTCCCTCACCGCCCCACCGTGGCTTCCTGGTGCTCTGGGGTCAAATAAGCTGTGGCCCTGTCCCCCTCATTTTGCAGATGAGGAAACTGAGGGTAACAGAGGGGGAGTGCCTAACCTCCAGTCCTGGCTGGACTGTGTAGAAAACCACACTCTGGTTTACAGTAGAAGACTGCCTCTTCTGCCTTGGGCCGTGCCTCAAGCTCTGCACCTGGCAAGTGGGGGCAGGAGCCCATCCTCAGGGAGGGGGCACGGATCGCTGGAAGACTGCACCTAGAGCTGTGAACTCTAGGGCCCAGGGTGGCACATGCCTTCTGTCCACAGATGAATCCTAGGAGCAGATGGGGGGCCAGGGTCTCTGCCTGTGTGTGCTGTGGCTCAATTCAGAGAGGACAGTCTCAGGGATGAGGACGGTGTCCCATTCCTCAGATGGAGAAGTTGCCTGAGACCATGTCCCATGACTGGCCCCCAGATCCATCCTGGGTCCTCTGAGCCGAGTCGAGAAGAAATGCCATTAGAATGCTTCTCATGGCCAGTTTTGGGGCCTGGAACTCAAGTCTGGGTGTGTTAGGGGTAGGGCGGGGCTGGCTTCAAATTGTGCTGTTCCCTATCAGCTCTGTGCCTTGCTGGGACCAGACACATGGCAGCCTGTGGGGTCCCCAGGCCAGAGACAGGGCTGCCTTGAAGACAAGACACAAAAGCACCTAGGAAAACAGGGTCATATTGTGCACACTGGAATTCACCAAAGTGATCACAGGTCCCACCAGAATAAAAACTGAAACCATCAATATCTGAAAACAAATTTCCACTGGGAAATTGTTCATTTCAGAGTCAGCCAGGTGGCTCCATCTGTGCTTGAATTTTTTTTTTTTTGAGTTGGAGTCTCTCACTCTGTTGCCCAGGCTGGAGTGTAGTGGCATGCTCACAGCTACCACAGCCTCGACCTGCTGGGCTCAGGTGATTCTTCTGTCTCAGCCTTCCGAGTAGCTGGAACTACAGTCACGCACCACCACACCCGGCTTTTTGTATTGTAGAGATGAGGTCTTGCCAAGTTGCCCAGGCTGGCCTTGAACCTGTGGGCTCAGGCAATCCTCTCACCTCAGCCTCCCAAAGTGCTGGGATGATGGGCATGAGCCACCATACCCAGCAAATGTTATTTTTATTTTTGGAATTGGGGTCTCTGTCACCCAGACTGGAGCGCAGGGCTACTGCAACATCGATCCGTGGGGCTCAGGCGATCCCATCACGTCTGGCTAGTTTTATTTTTTTGTAAAGACAAGATCTTGCCATGTTGCCCAAGTGGTTCTCAAACTCCTGGACTCAGCAATCCTTCTGCCTTGGCCTTCCAAAGGGCTGGGATTACAGGACTGAGCCACTGTGCTTGGCCTTCCATCTGTGCTTAGAACAGCACACCTACAGGCCACATCCAACAGCAAAGACACTTATTGGGTTGCCAAGACTGGAAATTGCTCCAGGAAAACCTGCCACTCTGGTGTGAAGGCTGAGGGCAACGCCCACTGGGATTCTCACCCACTCCCCTGGCCCTGGGGTAAGCTGGCCACAAAGACCAGGTCTCAACGGAATTAGAGTCCTATAATACATCCTGGTGGAAGTGAAGTCTTAACAAAGTCCAGGAGGTAGGTGCACCCATTCCATCCTTTGCTTCTCCCACTAATAAAGGGCCACCCACCACTTTCCCTCCAAGCTGCCTCAAAGCCAGGAGGAGACATTACAGGGAAACCAGGGCCCAGAGGGTGAAAGAAAACTCCAGTCAACACATGGTCCATTTCTTTATTGTCCTTCAGAGTCTAAAACTTCCTCATGATACAATGTAAAGCCATGTTTCCAGCCTCTTAATTTATTGGATTTCTATTCTGGTCTGGTGGCAACTTTTTTTTTTTACATTTATTATCAAAGATTTAGAGTCACAATAAATACAAGTGACAACCTTCCCTGCCCTCAGAGCCCCCTCAAATACCCTGTATTAGTGTAACCATCTATTACACCTTGTTAAGGATTATAAAATGGCCTGTTGTCCTTTTGAAGAAACTCAGTCCAAGTTCTTTAGGCTGACGTCACTTGTAGCGTAACTCCGCATCAGAGACCCTGTGGCAGAGCAAGGACCATCCTTCCTGTCATGGACACTCCTGTGATAAGAATGTGTGTGTAGAAAACTCACCCCATGTCTCTCTGTCCAGTGGAGAGGGAACCATGGGTATGGCGGGTGGTGCCGGGTGGCCTTGTTCCCTCTGCCCTGGGATGGGCGTTTGCTTCACCAAGGTCTTGGGAGTAGTCAGGACCTAAGGCTCAAGGTGCCAGATGTGGGCCCCAACCCCAGAAGAAGGGCGACTGAAATCCCTGGAACGAGGTCAGGATGGCCAGAGCTGTGACGGCTCCAAAGGGACACATGTGCTTGTGCCCATGTGCACCTGGCTGATTCAAATCCATTCCATCCACTAGAACAGGGTGAGGAGTGAGCTCTGAAGTCCTCCCACCCGTCCACAGAACAGCTGACAGTGGGAAGTTTCCAGATGCCACTGGGGGCTTGTGTCATAGATAAGTTACAGTCGTCACTGTTTGGGGCTGGGGGACCCCACAGGCTTATAGCTCATAGGAACCAGATCCCAGCAGGGCTCTTGGGGACCCCTGCACATTGCATTTGAGGGTGTGCTGTGCTGCTGGTAGAGCCCCCTTCACGTCACTAGATATCCTCTCCTGGTGTTTACAAACCCACACCCAGAGAGGTACTTAGTGCTGTCCCCTCAACATCGTAAACGTCATCACGGAACCACCCACTTGGGGCTTATCATAGAAGTTATATGGCGAAGCGGGAACTAAAGGAAAAGTCAGGTCGGACTTTCCAGACAGCAGAAATAAAGATTAAGGCATCTTACATCCTTGCCCCTTTAAATTAAAAAAAAAAAAAAAAGCTATGTTTACATCACAGTATATGCGTCCTCCCTGAAGGGAATGCTCTCTGGGACGTTTCTGTCCCTTTCAAGGGACAGCAGCCAGTACTGAACTCACAAGGCCTGGTCAACGACCACAGGCCCTGGAGGAAGAGTCCTGGTCAGGCTGAGAGGCCAGGAGCCGGGCTGGGGACAGCTCAGATCAGGTCCTCTAATCATAGACCCAGTCGACCCAAGCTGGGGCAGGCAGAGGGGACTCTGGCCTGGATGCCTGACCCCCAAGTCACTGCATAGAGCTGAGGTTTGTTCAGCCCGGGAAGGGCTCTGAACTGGAAGAAGCCAGCCCAGGCGGTCCTGGGAGGAGTTGTAAGATCTGGCCTAACATCATGGAACAGAGAGGGCTAACAGTTCAGGGTCGTATAAGACAGGTATTTATTTGCCAGGCACACAGAAAAATGCGAGGAATAGAAACGCTTGCATACTCTTAAGATTTTTTGGTGTAAAAACACACCCTCCCTTCCCCCACTGCCCAAAAAAAAAGAAAACATAAATTTCCTTCCTTTTCCCCAAATCCCTGGATCTTGGAATGAAAGTCACCCTTCCCCACCCTCCCCTTCTTCAGCCCAACTAAGTTATGCACTCAAAACAAAAATCAGTGAGAAATCTGGGGTTTTGCACAACAAAAATTAGAAAATGTTTTCCAAAACTAGATCTACTGCATGTCAAAAATGTTTTCTAAAGACTGATGATATTCACACACCAGGAGCATGGGGGTTAAATGAGCCTTTATTAGAATGTCGCAGCAGTTGTGTTTGAAGGAGGCGGCCCTACAAAAGAATTTTAAATTAAAGTTCCTAACTGTGTTGACAGGAAAACCAGGGCTGGCGCTGATGGGGCCGGTGGACCCTGTGGCTGCAGAGACACGCGTGCATGTGAACACAAGCTGCCCGCACTGGCACAGAGCCGCCCAGTGTGCGGCACACACGGAAGAACAGCTGCTGCCTTTCCTCATGAAACTGGTTTTTAAGAGCAGGAGGGGAAAGAAACAAAAATAAAACTAAAAGCAGACCTGATCCTTTAAAAAATATTTCTGTAGACTCTAAAGGGGGGTTAAAAAAAAAAAAAGGTCTGAACGTGAACCCTGACAGCAACCCCCAGCTTTAAGGAAAGGTTCTAGCTAGACCCAAACGGACATCTTGGAGTCTGGGGAGCAGCTGGCCTGCACCTGGACGGCGCCTCCCGACCCGGACACACCTGTGCGTGCTCACCCATCAGGAGTGAGGCCAGGGTGGCATAAGATGGTGTCCATCAAAATGAATAGAAAAAGGAAAGGAAAAATTTAATAAAAAAACCACAACAGCAAAAAACCCCCCAAACCATCCTCCCTCCAACTTTCTGCTCAGGCTTCTGGCGTTGCTCGATTCTCCTTCCTCCAAGGGCAGCGCAACTCCGGGAACCCTGGCTCTCTAGCTGGGTCTAGCTGTCAGTCTATTTTTCTGCTGAGAGTTAGAGATCCAGGGTCTCCGGAACGAGCAGCAACAGAGGCTTTGGGTTGGAGCAAGGGCTGTGCTGGCCATCCCCATGTTCATCTGTCCATCACTGGGGTGAGCCAGTCGTCCCTGCTGGGGGCCATGGCACTGTTGGCAGCCCACCCTCCAGGCACCGGGCCAGTGGGACAACACAGCGCACGACAGGGACCCCAGGGTCTGCACAGTTTACTTTTAACTCCATCATCATGAGGTGATTAAAAAAAATTCAACCTATAGATTGCCATGGAAGGCAAAAGACCGGGAGCCTAAGACAGGGAAAAGCAAAACGAAATGAAATGCCCACTCAGTTCAGAGTCCCCCAGGCGCTGGTCTCGCCCAAGCATGTCACAGTGTCCAGGGTGAGCCACCCACCCAGCAAGGGCCGAACGAGCAGGCCAGGAGAATCCACCCCCAAGGTCCACTTTTCTGCTGGTGTTGGGCAAACTAAAGGCAAAGAGAGAAAGGAAGAAAGCCCACGGGAAAGGTCCCCAGTCATGACCCTTGTTCTCCTGGGTGGCAGCTCCAGCCCCCCAGCCATGTCGAGACTGCAGGCAAGAATCGAATCGAGGTCTCGCCTCTGCCGTGTGGCTGGTGCTCACTCTCAGGGCAAGCACGGTGTCCTCCTGGGCCAGCGGAGGAGGGTGCAGTGTGTCCTCCCAGACGGGGGCTGGGTGGGGGAGGAGGGAACCCGTCCTCCGCGGGGCCTGGCTCGCACTATTTCCACGTGGCTGACTGGGGGATGGAGCGTGGCGGGATCATGTCGAGGAGGTACTCTCGTTGGCGGTCCACTGCCGAGGAGGTCTTGTGTACTGCCAGGCTCGGGCTGACAAACGTCAGGGTCCCGCCTGCAAGAGAATAGAGTGACAGGCCACAACAGGCCAGTCAGGCAGGGACCCCTGGAGGAGCCAGCCGTAACTGCCTAGACCCCCACCGCAACATGTGCTAAAGACCCGCGAGGAGTTGCAAACCCACGGACAGTACGCCACCATCATCAAGCTCAAATCCCAGATCCCAGAGCTGAAGAGATTTAAGAAACAATCCAGTCTCCTTTAGAGCGTTCTCAGGCTCTGTTGGATAATCCCACATGTGGGGCAGTCAGACACTTGTGCGCTAAAGAAACCAAGGTGCTGACCACATGATGCTCAGACAGGCGAAAACCACAAATGTGTGCGACGAGGCAGGAAGTGGGATGGATACCACAAAGTCATCCAGAACAACCCTACCCTTGAGAACCGCTTACACATACACAAGGCACTCTTGCTGACACAGGAGAGGGACACAGACTGGCAAACACAGAGCAGTCCTTTGTGAGACACACATGACCCTCAAGTGAAGAGGAGATACTGGGGAAAAATCCCCCTAGTATTCATTCTCCTGGGGGAGATAATATGGGCTACTGTTATGATCTTTCCTTTCTGTATTTTCTAAATTTCCACAATGAACAAGTATCACTCACTATTATAACTGGAAAATAATGGAGCGTCCCCAGCATACATAGAGTTTTTGGTTAGGGGAAAGGACTGCCTCAGACCCCCACAGACTTTGTGCTGCTCTAAGAATGTTTGCAGTGGGGATAAAATACATTTTGTGAAGAAGGCAGGCCTAGGTCTGATGCTCTTAGGAGTCTTCCCGTGCTAGAGGTCAGCGCTCTGGAAGCCTGGTGACTAAGCTCGCCTAGCAGTCAGTTCAAACCTCCATAATCCTCTGGGAAATGGTGCTTTAAACAAACAGCCTTCCCTCTAATCCCACCACTGGACACTGCAACTTCTGATGGCTTCGGAATCCTTTTTAAACTTTATCCTTAAACACATAGTCTCCAGATGGCCTCCACCCCTGTCCACAAGCATATACTCATGGAGTATCATTTTGACTTTTTCTACTTATTTCATATACTTTCAAGTGTCCCACAAAAGTCATTTCCAACCAGCTTGTAAGTTCCTAGTTGTTCCTTAAGACTGTTAGGCAGAAAGCACATCTGGCTGGTCTAATTACAAACACACTCTACTCTCTAGGCTGCACAGATTCCTCTGTGGATGGTGCCTACTGAGGCTGCCCATGGCCATGTCCCTAATTCAGGGCAGTGCAGGCACAGCAGCCTCTAGGTTTCCCAAGTTCTGACTGGGTTCCATCTTATGACGGCGCCTCTCCTTCCTATAGTGGCTCAGGCTACAGGGAACTTAGGGGGATGCTTTGCTTCTGTAGTCAAGAGCGTACCTTACCTGCCTGCCTTTCATTTTCTAACTTTTGGTGGACACAAGAAACATATAACTTTTGTCCTAATGTTAGCATGCATGTAAGAAAACAACTAGGACGTGTAGCCTTAGGGACAATGCCAGGGACAGTGGGGCTGTGGCTGACTGAAAGAGGGCACTTGAGGATCTTCACCTCCCACTTTTTCTTCAAATGTTGTCACCTCTGTTAAAGCCTGGCCCATGCCAGGGTATCCCCCACACCTTGCTCTTTCTGTTTTGTACTTTGCAGCACTTGGTGTGTCCAAAACAGAGAATAGGCGGAAAGGGAATGAGGATACAGTCTAGGTGAACAATAAATGAAGTGACCACCCCACGGATGGCATGATGAAAGAAAAACAGATGTTGGCTGAGTATGGTGGCTCATGCCTGTTATCCCAGCACTTTGAGGGGCAGAGGCAATAGGACTGCCTGAACCCAGAGCTTCTAGACCAGACTGGGCAACTTGTCAAGACCTTGTCTCTACAATAAAGAAAGAAAAAAAACTAGCCAGGCATGGTGGCACATGCCTGTGGTTCCAGCTACTTGGATGGCTGGTGGGGGAGCACCCCCCAAAGCAGGTCTGCCTCTGTGTGAAGGATGGTCATCATCTCTTCAGGGCTGTCGCTTATTCAGGGCATCCTGGCTGGGGAGCAGGAGAGGAAACCAAAGGTTCAGAGGTAGCTGTTCTCAGGAAGCGGGTCTGGGGCATGGGTCTTTCGTGACCAGTGTGCAAGCACATCTCTGTTTGAAGTCAGAGGGACTGGACCTGCCCAGCAAGCCACTGCCCACCTGCACTCAGCTGAGTCTTCTTCCAGCTGGAGGCTGCGCTGCCCTTGCCGGTGTTCACGGCTCTCTCTGAATGTCTGCCAGTCCTGCTGACCAGGGCCGTGGCTGAGGCCGCGTTCTGCAGTTTGGGCGACTGGCTGAATGTGTGCAGGACACCTCGGGGTGTTGTGGCCGAACCTCGGGACAGCTGGCTGGAAGCCTGCAGCAGAGAAAGGGGGTGACAGCTCAGATGGGGAAGCGTAGGCAGCAGGCAAGACGCTCAGCACAGCCTCTCCTTGCTCTGGCTGACCTCTTCCCACCCACACAGGGTCCCTAAAGTCCAAAATCAGGAGACAGAGGGATGGGGAAGAGAGAGAAACTGAGAGATAGACAGACGCAGGCAGCGTGACAGTCGGCGACTGACGTGGCCACGGGCTGCGGTGGGGGCGGAGGCTCCCAGGCCCGCCGCGGTTCTGACCTGTAGCACAGCCCCGTTACTCCAGTCGCGAGCCTCTCCTGAGCGAAACGCCAACTTACGCCGGGGTTTTATGACCTACACAAACGGGGTTGAAATTGAGGTCAGCGCCATCCACTGCTGGCCAGGGTGATGCGAAGGTGAGCCCCACAGGACAGTCCCGTCCCCCAAGGGCTTTAGCCGCCACGTGGGGATCTTGAGAAAATGTGTTTAGTGAATCACAAACAACTTCCAAGGAAACACAAATTGCCAAAAGCGAGCTTCGGGTCTATGGAGTAGGAAGGAGAAGCATGAAAATTAAAAAATGAGAACAAAAATCTTGATTTCCCCCTTGCTCCTCTCCTTAATATAGCTAGAACATTTCTTCCAAACGCCCCTTTGGCATCTCAATGTGGTTTTCAGAAAGGTCCTTTCAGACAAGGGGGCTGTCAGCCGGCACACTGTGAGCGAAAGCTATGAGATCTAAAGAAACTGCAAATTAGTGTTTTCGCTGCCCAACGCCACCATTAAGTGCAATTTAGACACGCAGTTAACAATCAGGCAGACAAGTGCCGGGTGGGGACAGCACATCGGAACATCCTGCCTTCTGGGGACAGCATGCCACTGAGGAGACAGGTCACTCACCTGCTTTAGTGCCGGGTGCGAGGCAGCGGTGGCATCAGCCTTGGCCTGTGTGGGGGCCGCACCCTGCTGCAGGAGCCGTTGCTCGATCTCCTGCTCCTGCTGCAGCGCCTTTACGAAGGCGGCCTTCAGCCGGCTAGTGTGTTCCACCTTGAGCGCCTTCTTCTGGTTGGTCGTCATGCAGGTCTCGCACATGATGGCGCCGCCCTTCTCCTCCCGCCAGCGGCAAGTGAAGTCCGTCTTGCACTGTGCACACATGTAGGGCTCCCGGGACAGCGCGACGGAGGCCGCCATCCTGCCTGCTGCAAGGAGACACGTGGGTGACTCACTTAGAAAAGGACAGGACACAAGTCTGGGCCCTCCCGGGCCCCCCCAATGGACTGGCACCACCTGAGCCTAAGTCCATTCTGCAAGCATGTATTAGGCCCTGAGTGCAGTGTGCGGATACGGCGCTGGACAAGCTTTGGAAAGCACTGTGGGCTGGGCAGCCTCGCTATCAAGTCAGCTTCTCCCATCCCCACTCACAATAGGGCATGAGACCACTGAGGAGGAAGCTGGGACCACACCAGGCCCTGCCTCACCATGATGGGCACTCAATAGCAAACGAGTTAACAAGGACGATGGTCACTCAGCAAGCACCTCGTGGGTGTTAAGGTGTTTGATACACTCTTCTTAGTGGGCACCCCCAGCCATCCCAGTCCCAGGGAGGAAACGGGATGAGAAAGACCAAGCAATAAATGAATCACACAGTCGGTCAGTGGCAGAACAGGACTCATACCCTGGGACAATACCCACTGCTTGGTCACAGAAACAAGGCACCCAGGCTGAGCAGCAGGCTACAGGTGCAATGGGCCTTGGTCCCTTTATCTGGGGGACAGAACAAATGTCTCCTCAGCCAGCCTTGGGGTCATGGGAAATACCTGCAGAGCATCTGCACAGGCACAGGGTGAACATGCCGTACACACTTCGTTTCAACCTTTTGAGTTAAGCATTCAGGGGCTCTAACTGCTTTTGGTCATTACAGACAGTAGCAAAAGACTAGAGGACAGTGGAGAAGGCTGTCGAGACCCTCAGCCTTCCCTCTCCCACTTGCAGCCCCGAGTCATAATGGGTGGGTCCCATCTCACCAGGCAGGCAGATGTCACTTGTCCAGGCCACCCATGCTCAGGGTCCAGCTCCAGGCCCCACCTGCTGCTCACACACTCCGGTGATAGCAGCACATCCTCCTGTACACGTCCAACCCCCAGGAGGGTGAGGCACCTGGTGTGAGCAGGTGTGAGCAGCAGGGCCCGGGCACTGGGATGAGGCCCTGCCCTGCCTGGGGGCTCCTCCCTGGGAAGTGCCGGGGAACACCTTTTGGGAGGCTCATAGCCTCCTCCCAGTTAGGTCCTGTTCTTGGCAGCAGAAGACTGACCTGATAAGGAAACGACTGAGGTGGGCTGGTCTGGGAGAGCAGACACCCATGCAGGGCATATGGGGGTGGGAGGCGAAGGGGCCCCATGGCAGATCTTTTGCCAACATCATCTTGTTGCAAAGGAGATGCCAAAGTGTCCAGACACAAGCCAGGCTGTGTCAAAGCCCTCACCTCTCCATAGGTGCAACCCCCCTCCTCCCACAGCCTGAGAGGTAGAGGCTGTGATCTTCCATGCTGCCCCTCAGGGTGGGCTGCACAGTCTGTCCTTGGATGGTCCTATGTTGGAGAGTTAGGCAGGAGCTACATGTAAATCTGAGGTGGCTGAATGGCATGGAGGGTCCTGGGCACAACCATTGGGGAGCTCAGAGAGGTACCTCTGAAGGACTTGGAAGCAGTGGGGAAGACACCCTCCAGCACCCTGAGATGGGCCCACAGCTCCTCTCTGCATCCTGGACAGGGGGAAGATGCTTCTCTGCACACATCCACATCCTTGCCTCCCAAGTCTGTGTGTGAAGGACTCTGAGGCCCACCAGGGCCATCCGCTGCCCTGGGCCAGTCACATTGTGACATGATCAGCGAGGAAAGGGCTCAGGCTCGCTGCCTGCTCCTGTTACCACCAGCTCAACCTCAGGGCAGAACCTGGGGAGCAGGGGCTTCCTGGGGGCTGACAGAACCACCTGCCTCCATGCAGCCCCGGTACTGTTGTTTTTGTTTTTTTTTTTTGAGTTAGAGTCTCACTCTGTCACCCAGACTGGAGTGCAGTGGCCGCTCCCAGTCACTGTAGCCTCGACCTGCTGGGCTCCGGCGATCCTTCCACCTCAGCCTTCCAAGTAGCTGGAACTACAGGCATGCGCTACCACGCCCGGCTGATTTTTTGATTTATTGTAGAGATGAGGTCTTGCCAAGTAGCTCAGGCGGGTCTCAAACCCACGGGCTCAGGCAATCCACTCACCTTGGCCTCCCAAAGCGCTGGGATTACAGGCCCGGCACTGTTTTTGACCACTACTCTGCAGATGCTCTTTTACTCCTAAAATCTCCCAGGACACAGGTGTACCTTCTACACTGCCCCCAGAGAGGGTGAAGACGTAAGCCTGGCCCAGGCAGGGACATCCCTGCCCCTCCTTGGAGGTTATGGAAAGTTCTGCCTGTGTGTGATAACCCTATATTCATCCAAGAGCCCTCGGGAGGCCAGGCCTGTCAGCCTCTCACATGTTCAACCTCACCCCTGCCTGCCCCACCGCAAATCAACGTCACACGGCCTCTGCTGCCTGCCCCCTGGACCATGTGTCACTAGGGGCCCGGCTCTTAGAGGCCCCAACGGGAGGAGGACAACATCCACACGTCACTGAAGAACTGATGACCAGCAGGTATCCCGACATTGCCCAACCACTTCAGACCTGGGTACCCAGCATGTGTTCCAGCATCCTGTTTGCTGACAAGAACCCACATGACAGAAGCCATGGAGCCAAGAGACGCCAACGGCCTGACCCCACCCAGGCCCACTCACCTTGCGTCTCCAGTAGGTTCTGCACCACCTCCTCCAGGCCTACCAGGTAGATGAACTCGTTGTTGGCCGCACTGGGCAGGAAGTTCATCTCTGGGGCGGGGGGCTTGGGAGGGGGGATCTCAAGCAGCGTCTTCTCCAGCTGCTTGCGCAGCGCAAGCTTGGCGGCTGCCTGCCGGCTGACTGGCGACTCAACAGAGGTGACCACAGAGGCCACGCTGGTGGGGGTGGAGTTGGCCTGAGCGGAAGTGGTTGTTGTCCCTTTCAGCGACGCTGGGGTGGGCTTTGGATAGACAACAACCCAGTCAGGGCGCTCAGTTCACCCACAAAGGCAGGCCCTCCCCGTGCACCTGGGGCCCGAGGTCCACACTGGTTGTGCTGGCAAGTCCTTACAAGTGCCATCACAGCTACCTGCCACTCACAGGCTTCCGGAGTTGGGGTCCTAGGAGATGGCTGGTAATCTAGACACATTCACTGGGGCTTAACAGTACCCAACACACCATGCACATTTAACATTCATAGCTTGCTGTGCTCTGGTATCCATGAGGCCATCGCCATGTTCCAGTGATCACCATCCCACCCAGCAGGGTGCCACTGTCCTCTCACAGCAGCCTTGCTGCAGTGTCATCTGGGACATGAATCCTTGAGTCAGCCTGAGTCCTTATTGGCGGCTACAGGGAAAGCAGCTTCTGGGTCAACCTCGGGCCCCCCATCCTTTGCTGACCCTTGCTGCTCCAGTCCTGTCTGGATCCCAACAGCAGGCCCTTGACTGTCTCCACACTACGACCGCCACAACTGTGAGTGCTCTCCCCAGAACCTACAACTGGCCACGGCAGTGCCCTCAACTTTCTGGGACTAAGGGCCCCTCTGTAAACCTGACAAGAGCTGTGCACCCCCATTCCCAGAAAATAGATATACCCAACAACTTGCAAACATGTAATGGCACTCAGGGGGCAGGGCTGGCCATCATCTCTGCACTCAAACCTGACCTTAAAGAAGGCAGGGACGTGCCCAGATCCCTGCTCTTGTCTGAGGAAGGCGGGAAAGAAGAAACTGCGCCAAAGGAGGAAGAAAGAGCGAACGCATCCGTCAGCAAAAGCCCCTGCAGACCCAGTAATTTAATCTGTCAGCTGAGGTTCTTGCTTCCAGCCTGCCCGCCCCTGGGTCCTGCTCTCCCCATCCTACTTCCCGGGGCGGGGACAGATCCTTCCCCTTAGAGGCTTTGGATAGAGGTGAAGGGACATGCAGCTAAGAATAGACATGCCTGGTGCCATAAGGACATCTGCAGACGCGTCCTCTTTAAGTGCCATGCAGGGGAGGCAGCGGAAGCCGTGGCAGGGAGGTCAGGAGGTGCCCGCCCCTACACTGTCTCCAGGCCCACTGCTTGCCTCACCAACTCCCAAACATGTGCTGCCTCCCCCACATGGAGCCTGTGAGCAGACCCCGCCCTTAGTCCAGCAGCTCCCCTGTACTGGGCGGCAGATATGCCCATGACCTCCTTCACACCCCCACAGTGTAGAGGAGCTAGAGTCCAAGCCTCTGTCTGCCCTGGGAGACATGGCTGGGGAAGCACACCCCCCTGCCCCCAAGTGAAGCCTCTCACCTGCGGGATGTTGACGAGCAGACTGGTGTTGGGGACATTGGCAACACGAATGAGACCCTGCTGGATGATTCTCTGTCCCTGAATTTGCACACTGGGCACAGACGCCCGGGGGGCCAGGAGGAGAGGCGGCGGCCCCGTGCTGGAATGTTGTCTGATGTTGTGGATTTGCTGTCAGGGTAGGGAGACAAGAAATCCCACTGAGAAGAACAACAGAGAGAGGCAAAGAGAAGATGCCTCAGCATCAAAGACCAGGAAGGGTCCTTCTTGAAGAGTGAGTGGTTGCTGGGATGCCAAGGCCCCCCAGCACACATGACTTCACTCACCTGGGCACCCCTGACAAGTGGGGGCATGACGACCTGCGAGCTTGCCTGTGGCCCCAGCTTCGAGGACACCTGCTGCCCGCCTCGGACAAGGGGTGGGGGGATGACACTGCCAGGCATTCGAGTTGAAGAGGTCTGCCAATGACACCAACACACAGTTTTACATGGGCTTTTTTTCTTTTAAAAAACAAATAGATCTGCTGCTTTTGTAAAAGCACATAGTGGTTTTAAAAGAAAGGTAGCAGAGAAGTTAAAAAACACCGGCTAAGATGTCAACTTATCTACACTCAGAAAAGCAATGAACACCAACTAGAGCTGTGTAAGCCTGGGCTCACTCAGGATTGAGTCCCGCTAAGTGCCACGAGATACCAGCCCTGCCCAGGCAGGAGAGCAGCTAAGCCAGGAGAGCATGTGGCCATTGGGATGGGTCAGGGTTCGGGCCTGTCTGAAAGGAGAGGACAGGGGTCCCTTCTAGGCCTCTGCCCCCACCTCAGAGGCGTCCTGCAGGCAAAGGAGGGCACGAGCCGTGCTGGGAGGGAACTTCACCAGACCTGGGCCGCAAAAGGCTGCAGAACGCCCTGACCATCCCCAAGAAAGTTAACATGAAGGCAGCCCAGACTTCCAGTACTCGTTCCAATCCTCCTAGGGACAGTCACTAGAGGTCCTTCCTCTGTTGGCCATGATTTCACAAGTAGCCTAATTTGGGACATGCAGTTTGGGGAATGCTTCTTCCTCAGGGCTGTCAGCTGGAAGGCCTCACTCCAGCCTCTTTGGAAGGAACAGGCAGTCACGGACCAGGGCCACTCGGGAGCTTGATGGGCCTGCTCCTGACTGCAACCAGCAGCAGTGCAGAAGAAACACAAAAGGGACACTGACCTGGAGCGATGGCTTGCCGGCAGGAATGTTCTGGGTGCCCCGCACAAGCGGGGGAGGGGTGGTCACAGTGCTCCCTGTGGAGCCTGTGGGCTGCAAGAGAACAGGACAGAGGAAGATGAGGGGCTGCCTGCCTTTATCCCCCAGAAGGAGGCACCAGCACATATCCCAACAGAGGACTGACATGTGCAGAACCTCCTTGAAGGTTCTGCTTTCAGCCTGAAAGCAACTCTGTCTGCAGCAGGAGTTGGCATATTCTACGTGGGCCTAGGAGAGTTTCCAGCAGCCCACACAGAGCTGGGGTGCTCATTTGACCCTCTAGGGGAGGAACAGCTGACAGTGGAGGCAGCAGTTGAGGCAAAGGACCCAGGGCCTGGAAAGGTCAAAATCAATCTTGGTGAGAAAACGTATTTTTTTTTGGAGTCAAGGTCTTACTCTGTCGTTCATGCTAGAATGAAGTGGCACAATCATCACTCACCACCTCCTCAGCTCAGGTAATCCTTCTACCTTAGTCTCCCAAGTGGCCCGGACTACAGGCACATACCACAACACTTGGCTAATTTGGGGGGGGGGGGGGTTAAGAGATGAGGTCTCACTATGTTGCCCAGGCTGGTCTTGAACTCCTGGGTTCAAGCAATCCTCCTGCTTTGGCCTCCCAGAGTGCTGGGATTACAGGCGTGCATGTAATCCCTGGCCACCATGCCTGGCTGAGAACATTTTTTTTTTTAAAGTCAGAGTCTCACTGTGTGCCCAGGCTGGAGTATAGTGTCACACTTACAGCCACCATAGCCTTGACCTGCTGGGCTCAGGTGATCCTTCCACCTCAGTCTTCCAAGTAGCTAAAACAGGCACATGCCACCACAACTGGCTTTTTTTTTTTTTTAATTGTAGAGACAAAGTCTCACCATGTTGCCCAGGCTGGTCTTAATCCCCTGGGCTCAGGCAATCCTCTTGCCTCTGCCTCCCAAAGTGCTGGGATTACAGGGGTAAGCTACCATATCTGGCTAGAAAACCTACTTTTTAAAGCCGCATATTCCACTAGAGAAAGGAAAGTAACAGACCTGCTGCCCTTCATTGAGTCTTCAACAATTGACAGGGAAACAGAAAAAAGAAACAGGCAGGCTCTGACCAACCATCTGCTAACCAAGTGGGCAGTGGCGATTCAAACACAAACCCAAGTCAGAGCAGGGAAGGTCTCCTCCTGCCCATCCTCAAGCAGCCACCAGCCCTTGCTGCCCAGGATGCAAGTACTTTCTGATTCACTAAGGTGAGAGCTAAAAAAGGAACGTCCCACGCCCCCCCCCCGCCCCGCCAAGGGAGTCCTTTCTGACCTCTTGCCTCTTCCAGCCCCAGGCACCAAGGAGGGTGGGCGACCAAGTAAGAACAGGGGCTGACCAGTCCCACTGGCCAAAGGGGAGGAGAGATGCGCACACACCTTCTGGGCGGTGGTTTCCTTTTGTATTTGACTCTGCCGCAACTTTTTCAACAAAACAAGTTTTGCTTCCTCTAATCGCAACTCTTCTTTCAGTTGCTTGATCATTCTTTCTCGTTCTTCAGGACTACTTTTCTGCAAGAATGAGAGAACCAGGGTTGAGGGGGGCTGTCCTTGGCAGGGGATGGAGGCTCCATTGTCACCAGCTCCACTTAAGGACACTGCTGGGCTCCACCAGCAGCACCATCATGCAGCTCACCATGAGGGCCTCAGTGCTGGTCTCCTTCAAGGCCGCCGGAGTCAGCCCGTTCACTCGAGGGCTCGAGGGCTGCTCATTGTCAGACAGCACGATCACATCGGGTGAGGGGGGTCTCTTTTCAGACTTCATGTCACTGCGGAGAGGAGATAGCAGTCATTAGCAGATATGGCACCCACACAGCAGGGAAGCAGAACATCCCACCCAGCCTCTGCAGCTGCCTGTCTGCCCTGCGTGACCAACCCTCCTTGGACATCATCTACACCCCCGCCCCGTGGCGCCTGGCACCCTCTCACCACACACATCACAGGGCACCCAAGCCTGCCAATTAGTGGCTGGGCCCCTCAATGGCTGGGACTTGCCTGCTCTAACATCCCCAGGGCTGAAGGTACATTTGCCCCTGAGGCATGACATGATCATTCTGGAAAACACAGCAGCTTCCTCCTAGACCATGTGACTAGGTATTGGGTAAAAACACTTGGCTGCAAATTCCAGGGCCATGCATGCTGGGTGTGACGGGATGCACGTGTACTGCAAACCAGAGGCTGTGCCTATTTGTGCTGGACCTGCTGGGCGGGGAGCCCAACTTCTATACGTATTAGTCTTTCTTTTCTGCACAACCCAGGAGCACAAACAGTCTCACACCTGGCAGCCCACCTGACCCCAGAAGATGAGCAAGCTATTGGCCTGCTTCCGAGGCAGACCCAGGCTGCCTGCTGGATGGTCATTCCTGAGCCTCATGTGGTGGCAGCCAGTCTGTGTTTTGAAACCAACTGGGACTGATTTTCTATCGAAGACCAGGAACTCTCCACCTACCTAACAAACTGACTTCTGTTTGTTATGCTCTGGTGGTTGGTGGACTGCTCTGCCCTGCGGATGCCAAGGCGTCCTGCCTGTAACCCTCCCATGGAGGAGTCCCAGCTCCAACTACATCATGAAACACTCTCATCATTCTAGCCAACACCTCCTTTTCTTTCTAACAAGTCTGCTCTCCACTCATTGCCATGGTCTGTTTGGGGAGCTCACTTCCATCTGTGAACTTGACCTGAGACCTGTTGCCCTTCTCACCTTCCCCATGGCAGTTCGCCATAAGCCAGGCAGTGTCAGGAGACAAATGGGGGAAGCACTTGTGGGCCTTTTTTTGTTATTTTGTCAAAATATGGTCACGAATGTCTCAGTGTGTGGCTGATGAGCAGGTGCTACATCGTCATTTATCAGAACTTGATAAGAGCACACTGTGGAAGGGACCATCTCCTTCTTGTGAACAATTCTCCGGGATGCATACGCACATCCGACACTACACAAGCCTTAGGGCTGATACCAGTTTTGGTGTCGATGACCCAACACGAGTCCCAGAGAACACGTTTTGCCCCCAAGGAGGCAGCTCCATTTGCAGACTTTCCCTGCCCATTTGGGCTCCGTGCTTCTGAGGACAGATGCATCCACTAGGTGGCACTGTGACACCAGAGGACAAACTTGGAGGAAGTAAACTGGGAGTCAGCTCAAAGTTGTCCCCGCTCTTGCACCAGACCCCAGCGAGTTGAGGACAGAGTCACTAAGATCAAAACTTGACTATGCTTCAACAGCCCACAGGAACGCCATCTGTACAACCACTTTCCTCTAGTCTCTCCAAGTTCCATCTGCCAGAGCTACATGGTGGCTGCACCTGAATACTGGTCTCAGCCCTGATCAGACTTAGCTATCACAGCTGCCAGCCAACCTCTCACCAGAGACCTGGAACGTGGACAGAAAGGTGCCCATTTCAAAGTATACAATCCCCCAGCACAGGGCTAGCAGCCTAAATTCTGAAGTCCAGAAACGGGCTGTTTCTAAAGTAACCCAGGACACGTCTCTTGGGTCTCATCAAACCACCTGCATGATTCTCCTTGCTGCCTACTCTGCCCAAGATTGACTTTAGGTGACCTCAGGCCTCCCACTCCTAGATATACACACAGACACTGAGTGTGCAGAGGAAGGCAGACCCAAGACCCAGCCCAGAGCTGGGCTCCAGGTGAACTGTGGAAGAGTTGGCCAGGCAAGCCTCTTTTCTAGAGGCACAGTTGACAGACGCATGCACAGGGGAGCACAGGCTGGAACAGCCAATATATAGGAACTCATCACTTTTATCATCTTATTGAGGACATGCACTTCTTCCAGAGATGAGATGACTAATAAAACTCAAATTTGCCTGAGGGAAGAAGGCAAGACTTGGGACTCAGATCATCCAACAGCTGAAACTTCCCAAGAGGGCCACTCTGACCACAGCGCTCCCTGGCCCCATCTTGGCCTGAGACTAATCAATAACTCATCCAAGGGATGATGTCACCACCCATCAACGATCACTCAGCATCCCAGCAGCCAGCAGTGAGTGAACTTCCTGTATGCTAATCAGGCCACCAAAAAGTCATGTGACAAAGGCATTTCCCTCCTTGGTCATGTGACCCTTTAACTGTGCCTTCCAACATGAAAACCATGGCAACGGCCAGTTCCAACCGGTTTGTGACATGCGGCCTTCATTTTGAGAAGGGAGGTAAGGGTTCAGGTGCTGTCAGAAAATGGAGGCGCCAGGCTCACCCAGGGGGCCGCAGAGCAGCAGGCACTTCCTTTGTGACACCAGACCACAGGGGACTGTGCGCCACAAGCACCAGAGTCATCTCTCCAAACACAGAAAGAGCCACTAAACCCTTCTAAGTTTCCAAAATGAAAAACTTCCCTAAGTTCAATGTTTAAAGGAGAGGGGGCTTCAAGACTCTCAGTACTTTTTTAGAGTTTTTTAATTCAGGGAAAAAAAACATGACTCAAATGACTGTAAGCACTATTTTAGAAAAGATACATATTTTATTATAAAAACCATCTAAAGTGAAGAGAACAAAAGCAGTGATAATGTAGTGGGTGGAGATGGAGTTGTGGCCAAGAGAGATGTCTGCCCAGCTAGGTGTGCTGCCTTCGCTCCACAGTGGGCATTCTGGGCACCAAGTTTATTTGGGAGCTATGTGATATATCAGGGAAAATCCCATAAACCTGTCCTGACCATCCTGAGAATCTTTAATGTAAAATGCAATGATCCAAAGAGACTTTATGTGACCTACAAAAATCCCTGGAAGCAGGCCAGGCTGTTATCAGCGTAAACCGTCTCCCTCCCTCCTCGCTCTGCACCAGCCCTGACTTCACAAGCACAGAAATTCTGTTACCTGCCAAGAACTTTCATACGATTTCCTGGAGGGAAAGCTGGGATTATGAACTTTAAATCACAACACGATCCCACCTCCACAGCACAAGGTCACAGCTTTCAGCTTGCTCACCAACCAGTGTGTGGCTAATATTTAGTGCCTCCCTCGTCCTGTGCCAGGGAAGTAGTCTCACCAAGGGAATGCAGAACTATCGCTGTGGCTTGGACCTTTGTGGTTCTCTGACATGCCTGGTATTCAAGGAAGATGCACGCCATCCCTCCTTCGTTCATTCATCACTAGTTCATTCAAGCGCTCACTCATATTTGCTGAAAGCCCATTTAAGAAGCAGGTGCTGCACCAGGGAGTCAGGAAAAATCTCTGGATAAAAAGTGGTTCTGTCTTTAGGGTCCACAGTCTACCAGGATGGAGAGCCACAAATGCAAGAGGGGAAGGGCAGGTGGGGACAGGGCCCAGAGAGAAAATCTGCAGGTGGAAATGGGGCTGGTCCTGTGACCATCAGACCACCAGCTGCCTTGGCTGACAGACCAACAGGGCAGCTTCTCCAGAGCTCATATAAAAATGCAGCATGTCTCTTCGCTCCAGATCCACCTGACCCAAGTCAGTATTTGGATAAGAATCCCTGAGATTCCTACACACACCAGGAAGTTGGGAATGGCCATGAACCGTGGTCTGTGGAGGTCTCAGAATGCGAACTCTTCCACCAGGCTGGCTCAAGGAGACAGGCAACACCATCTCCAGCCACAGCCAGCCCCACTAGAACCTTTCCTCTTCTCATCTTTTGGGCCTGGCAGGTGGCTGCCAGCTGTGTCTAAAGTAGAATGGGGGCTTTGCGGACCCAGCGCCAATCCTACCTTCCCCTTCTGCAAACACTCACCTTGGACCCACCAGACCCTCCCCAAAAGAATGTTCCCCACTCACGCCCAGTCGGCCACAATCCCACACCACTCCTGCTCTCACCCAGCACACTGTTCCTGCTGCAGAACATCCCTGCACCCTACCCAGCCCTGCACCTCATAAACCACCTCACAAACCGACTCACCCTCTAAGATGCACCTCACACCATCCCTGCCCTCAGGAAGATCCCTGGATGGCCCTGCCCACCTATACCCCAGCCCTGAGGGCTACCGTCAATGTTCCCCCAGTGTGCTCATGAGGAGTTCACCAGCAGTGCATATCTGGGGGAACCACCACAATGTGTGTGCCTCAAGAAGCCTTCTTAGCCCTGTCACCACCATGTGAGACACCCATGGCAAAACTCTGGGGGTTCCACTCACAGGCACTGCAGACCTGAGCAGAAACCCCTTGCCCAGGGTCTCCAAGAAGGACTGCTTGATGGGCCTCCATTACTCAGTCTCCCCAGCCCAGTGACTAGCTCACTTGCCCTCAGTCCACCCATCTAATGGTGACCCTGTGAGATCAGCCCCTCTGCCCCAGCCTTTCAAGGGGGCAAGTTCCCCCACCTGAGCTGAGGGCCATCATGTCCCCTTCGGGTGGGGGTGGCAAAGGCACAGCTCCCAATGAGGGCAAGGTTATGCCCAGGGCGAAGGAGGAGCAAAGGCAAGGGGGAGTTCCAGCCCTCAGATGCCATAACCCCAGAAAAAGGGATGAGCTGCCCATATCCTCAAAGCCAGGAGGGCAGGAACCTCCTAAGGCTATGCTGACTGGGGTTATGGACTGGGGGAGAGGCCCACCACTTCCCAACACGCCGACAAAGGTGCTGCACCTGTGCCTGAGTATTCCTGTGGAGTCACTGCCCACAACGCTGCCAGGCTGGGGGTCCCTGGCCACCCCACTCAGCCTTGAACTTCAAACAGTTCTAGGTCACTGGAGCTGTGGAACGACACCCCTGATGAGTCACAAAACACCAGGGTCTCACTTGGTTCTGTGCCTCTTGCAAGTGACACTTCCCTCTCCATGCCTCCCATAAGGAGGGCAACAGGAGTAC